TTTCACCTAGGTTCGCTTATCTCCAGTTGCTTCTTAATAAGTTGCAAGTACAATTCACAATTTGCTCGCGCAGTTTATCTCACGGCCCTGTTGGCAACAACTTCCGGCAAGAAGTCCGTTTTCCTCGAGAGCATTTCTAGGTTCCCGCTCGGGGCTCCAGCGACTCTAAATAATAGTCGTTACCCTTAGCGAGCAGACTTAACTATTGTCGGAAAGTTGGCCGGCCACGCGATCCGTTTTCATAACCGAGTTCAAGTCGTTTCGCGGTCATGCTACTTCTTTTTTCTTTTTCACGCAATCAACGTCGTCAACGTTGGGTTCCTTTCTACTTCAGCAACTTCTTTGCTCTTCTTTGCCTGTCTACCTGTATATCTCTTTCTTTCCCTCCAGTGAACGCGTGAAAGGCTTAGCGCTATAGCTAGCCAAGTCGCCTAGCCGTTTCATGGAAGCAGATTTTCGGAACCGACCGAATAACTATGTTTTAAACTTTCCAATTGTGTTTAGCATCGTCATTTAGTTCTAGCTATTTCACTGACTCGAAACTGCACCGTTCGCGATTGACGAAGTCCACCACGAGGGCAGGAGAACTTCATTTATCTGAACACTTGCGGAAGATAAACAATTATTAACACAATTGAAATTCGTGTGATACGAGTCCAACGATTCTGTCTAATCTCGGAATAGAATTTCAGTTAATCGGGAAAGTTAACTGAAATTTCGTTTCGGTAAATGGATTTCTGGCGTGTATTTTGTACACTGATACTTTGTGCAGCTGATGAGTCACACACGTCGATTGGTCGAACGTGTTTGAGTTCTTTCGCGAAATGCACGGCGAAAGGGCCACGAGACCGACATTGTCCAAATCTGGACATGCATTTCAATGTCGAGCGTAAACATTGGTAGTTCGTGTTGGAGAGGAGAAACGAAGCCACGACAGCGAACTGCTGTCAGGCAGCGATTTCTTCGACAGCTGAGATAACGCTCGATGCGCGTACACATCGAGCGTGCAACGTAGTAAAACATCGAAAAAGAAAGAACGGTACAACGACGCTCGAAAAATGGCTACCGACGCGCTTTTTCTGAAAAAAAAGAAATAAAAAAAAAAGATAAAAAGGGATGATAACACTTACCTAATCACAATGTGTCAGTCGTCGATTAATGCGATGATCCTTGAAACGGATTAGAAAAATCGGGTCTGAAACGAATGTAAAAGTTTCTCGCAAAAGAATAAGTATCGTTATCACAAAGCACAGATCACAGAATAGTAAAAAGGCAATTTTGAAGAAGCGTATCACAGCGGTGTTGTTCAAGTCGAAAAATCTTCTTTTTCTTCTTCTTCTTCTTCTTTTTCCAAAATCGTCACGCACTACACTGAAACAGACCCCCTTTTAAATTGTCCTAAAGAAAAAATCGATATGCTCGGCGCGAGAGCGTCCGCGGCTATCGTGTGGTAACTTCTAGAAGAAGTTCGATGCGCCGACGAAGCGTTCGTGAAGAAAAAGAAAATTCAAGCACGCTTCTCTCCAACACTTCTCTGCTCCTTTCTATTTCCCTCTTTCTCTACTTTATTATTATTATTATTTTTTTTTTCAATACACGTTTCGCGAGAACTCTCTGTATTTCTTTTTTTACAGTTTCTCTTTTCTTCCCGATTGAATGCTCGTTCGCGATCGAACGAGAACAGAGAAGACAGTCCGACTGGCTTGTGTTCCGCAGTTGCGTTAGCACGTGGTTGCCGCGGCGAGTTTCAGGTTCGAAATAAACAAGCTCCAGGCGAAATCAGCGAGTTATACGACGGCGACGCAGGCGCGACCGTTTCGAGCTCGGCTCGGCTTGGCTCGGCTCTGCCGATCGGCAATAAACATATTCCGCTCGCGCGCTCTGCCTCCGTTGCGTTCCACCAGGCCGGAACAGACTGAGAACAGTCGGCTCACGATCGTCGAGCCAGCTGATTCTTCTTTCGTCCGATGCTTTTCCCGCTTCTTACCTTTCCCTCGCTCTGTCCCATTTCCTGTCTCTCTCATTTTTTTTACGTGGAGGAAATCTTCGATAAGACACCTGAGTCTTTTAAGGGAAGAAGATCCAGGTAGTGTCGGATTTTTACCAACTAAAACCTCCACGATGGCCGTCCTCCGCACGTTGGGAGAGCTCTGGAACCTTTTTATACACACAGAGCTCTCCTCGTGCTGTTTGTCCTAAAGGACAATATCTTTTTTTTCGCCCGAATAAGGGTTCGAAACCCTGGACCCTCAGATTAAGAGTCTGATGCTCTATCGATTGAGCTATCTCCACCTCTCCTGTCTCTCCCATAGCCAACATATGTACTGTACCTAAATATTATCGCGAGTAACCCTGAGAATCGTTATCAGCGTTACTTCATTTCTAAACAGTCTTCATTCTAGATCGAATATGTAGCTCGAATTAACACATAATTCTCTGTGATTGGCTTTTGACCATTTCCCTGTCACAGAATTTCAATTCTTTGATTTTACGCGTGTTGTATCGTTGACAATATCGCCGTGCCCACATTCGCTGCACCCCGTTCCGGGTATCAGACTTTGTCCGTCGTAATTCGCGTCCTATCAATTTGGGTCGTAGTCAGAGTGTCATTAACGACTAACGATCACGATAATGAAGACCGGGAATGATCGTTCGATTTCGTAACACGTTGATTCGGCGGCGTCTTACGAAACGCGTCACATTGTCAGGAGATGGAGACGAAATCTGCGTGCAAGTCAAGGACGATCGTGTAGAACGAAGAGAATGAACAATAGAGAGATACGTGGTTGATCGATAAGCAAGTTTTCGGCCACGAGACTGGTTCACGAGACTTTGTTTTCGTGAAATCCCACGCTAGACCGAACATGCCGGCCTTGAGCTGAAATTCGCACAACGATGGACTCGGTGGAGATTTTCGCGGCTCTGCCGGACGTCCGTGTCGCGCGCAGGAAACGCGAACAAACGATACTGGCAATCTTTCTTAATTCCGTTTCCACGCTGCACGACGCTCAATTAGTGTGTCACTTTCGTGACGGGCACGTGTAGTTTATCTTCCTACGTAGGTTTTCCGCGACAAGCGAAGGTCGAGCCTCGTACACGCTGGAAAATTGTATCATGACTATTCGCAGCATGTCCTTTGCCGGTCAACCATTAACGACACATATTACACCATATTATCTGTCGTAAGCCAGGCATACGTCTACGTGTCGTGCGAACATGTGATTTTCGACGCTCCTGGACTCTCTATTTCACATCCACTAACGTGAATCGTCAAGAACGCTTCTGACGTTCAATCTGATAACGGGCAACGTAACTCATACACCGAACGATGCGATTATGCTTGCAGCTTGACAAATGACATTGTTGACTGGCCATTCATCACCAGGCGAGTGGCAAAACCGGCCATCGAGGTTCCCCGGGCATCTCGGAAGGTCATCGTAATTACGTTTCCTACAGTTCGGCTTTATTAGTCAAGCAATGTCAAACCATATTAATTCAGAGCGGTGTGCTTCCTGGAGAAAAAAGTGCCAGGGTTGCCCGAGGACCTTCTCTGCATCGCGCATAACAATATTTCGTACATTTGCGCGACTTTCCTTCATCCGGTACCGAACGTACGAATTGCTCATCTGCTTGCTAAACACGCGCTTACAGAAACATTCGTTCCTTCGGTCGTTTTTGTCGAGGAACGATCCACGATCCTATCGAATCTCTCAGATTGAATGACCCAGACTGGTTGATGTCCTCTCGGTGGCTCTAGAACTAAGATCGTAGGTCTAACATAAGCTCCGCGGAACAAATTTCCTACGGCGCCATTATATTTTTAGACTTAGGACGAGGCTGCACCAACCAAGTTACAAGCAAGCTGCATCGCGCACTGCGGCGCCGCGCGCAATGAATTCTTTCAACGTTAGTTCGAAGCGGCGCAAAGTGTCCCAGCACGGGAAGGCGCTCGTTGCAAAACCGCTCGATTAAGGTCACACTTGATGAAATGTATTAAGCCAATATCTTTTGAAGAAACCAGCGGCAGTGCGAGAGTACGTACTATCAGAAGAGAGCAGCGCAGAATCTAGCGCTCCGAAAATAACAACTGGGTCATTTTAGAATTTCAATTATAAACGCGAAACGAGTCGTAATCGATTCCGATTCTTGCTCGAATGTCTTTGGTCGTAAAAGCAAGACAAACGTATTTCGTTTAAAACTTCGTTGCGGACAGAATACACATACGTGCATAATATTTGCCCTCCACTAGACGTTATGTAATTCTCACGAACAACAAACTCTTCGGTTTAACGACGAGCGCTCGTTGACACGATTCGAGATGCATACGAATACGTTTTACGAGAAGAGAAATTATTGTTCACGTTGAGAAGCAACTATTCCTGGCATATGGTCGCGATAATCCCTCGAACGTTATCGTTATCGAACCATAGTGTACACGTGCCATGAAGCATCAATTATTGATACGATCGTCGTTCAATAAATTGATAATTTCGTTTTTCGTGCTCCTTCTTCCACTTGAATCGAGTGCATGTTCTTAAGGTAATCTATCTTGTAATAATCCAGATAACTTTGGCGCTGAGTAGTTCACATCAATGAAGATGATTTACGTGATAACGGGACCTGATTAAAAACAAGCCGGTTGTTCGATCGCAATTATTTACATTCCTGTCGCCAAGAAGTTATCAAGTTATCGCGTGCACTAAATACCAAAGGTCGTTGGAAACCGATAATAAAGAGGCTCATTGAGAAACACATATCTGTAACACGTAGGCATGCACATACTAGTTATTAAATATGTATATATAGATATATCGATGAATTGCATCACAATTGCATTGAACGAACAATGTATTAAACGTCGCTAAAAAAGAAAGGACACCACGCTTCGTTTGAAATTCATGATCCGTAGTCTCATTAGAAACAGCGTTTCCTCCGTTGCAAGGATGTTCGCACATTATGCAGAGAGCCCTGGCTGCACTCTACCGTCACAATCTTATCTACCACGTATCTAAAAGAACATCCTATTGGGCCAAAGAATATTTAGACGATTGTCATTGTGCCTGGTAATAATTCGCGGATTGACACAATCATCCTTGCCTTCGTTCAGCGTATATTCCGAACTTTTTTTTTTATCGAACAGGTTTTTCGCCAACGCGAACAACGAAGAGCAAACGATCGGTTCAGTTGACGCTGATTATTATAATATGTACTTGCATATGTGATCGCCGTTGTATTCTATCGACGAAAGTTCAAAAAAGATCATCTGCAGGAAATATTTCTTGCAAGGCAAATCAGCCAGAACAAATTTCCATAGGCATGTATTATTTATGCGCACGAAATCGAAACAGAATTATCTACGTTCCGTGGGAGTGTGCAAATACGCAATTATGTAAGAATAGCTTCGTTCGACTCGTTTTTCAAGCAAATACAAAAATCCAACGTCCGTTTCGCGGCAAGTGGAGTAAACGTCGTTCATCATCCAATGTAATCGTGATCTGTGATTACGTTAATAGCAGATAGTAAAGATACTTTTTTCTACGTTTGCTATTCAAATGAGATTCTGAACAAACGTGAAACTGTCATTGCTTCGCGGAAAATGAATTAAACGTTGTTGATAATTTACGATAATCACGACTTATAAATAGATCATAATAAACATCGAAACGATTATGTATCTATCGTTTTTACTATTGAAACCAGAAAATTCTGTACTAAGAAATTAAAAATAATCGTCGAGAAAATTGTTTATATAAATCGTTGAAGAAGACAATAAAAGAGCACAATTTTCAAATATTTTCTATAATACATCATCGTTGCACGCACACACGTCTGAAAATAATAACGTTTCCACCGTTGCGTTTTTTCTTTTTTTCTTTTTTACGCTTTGATTAGCAAACTCGTATCTGCAAGTGATTTTAATAAGCGAACAGATGAAGTTTAATTTCAAACGTAGAACGTCTACTGATCTTCGATACGAAAACATATTATTCCACTTTAACTATTTTATCTATCAGAATTTTGTTATGTTCGATAGTAATAAAATTTGTTAAAATGTTGCATTTATATGACGCATTCGACAATACAAATATTTTGGTCGAAATTTATCTTTTGCTCGTAAATCGATACGTAAATGTTATTTCCTAATTCAATAATTATGAAATACATTTCATACGTCTTGAATTTGATATGCTGAGTGAACAAATATTGAATTTCGCGGTTCTTCTGCTAGTCATGCCAACTGATCAGCATTAAAATTCTAGATTGTAATTTCACGAATCGTTATGTTTGACAACATGATAGCAAGTTAACCAAAACGTGTAACGAGAATAAACAATAAACATTCCATTGTATCGTATTGTTTAATTATGGGAAAAACATCGAAAGATAAACGTGATATATATTATCGGCGAGCGAAAGAAGAAGGATGGAGAGCAAGGAGCGCTTTTAAATTGCTTCAAATAGATAATGAGTGCCACATTTTAGATGGTATGTATAAAGAAATAACTTCAATATTGCACAAATAAAATACAACGCTTTGTTTATGATTTGGAAAAGGAGTTAACAAAGCTGTGGATTTGTGCGCGGCACCTGGTAGTTGGAGTCAGGTTTTATCGCGAAGATTAAAGTATGTTGTGATTGGTTTGTTAACGTTTTAAGAAGAATGTTTTTGCAAGATTTTAAAGTTTTTATTATACTTTTTCGTGAACAGTGAGAATTACAAGAAAGCTCTGGAAGCTGGGAATGCAACACCCCCAAAAATAGTTGCAGTTGATTTACAAGCTATGGCACCTCTAGAAGGAGTAATTCAAATTCAGGGAGATATTACCAATATTAATACAGCGAAGGAAATTATTTCCTATTTTGACAATGAACAGGCTGATTTAGTAGTTTGCGATGGAGCCCCTGATGGTAAACTTATATTAATATATTATTTCCATCAATCAACAATAATTTTTATCAATTATTTGTATAGTTACAGGCTTGCACGATATGGACATTTATATTCAGTCACAGTTATTACTAGCTGCGCTGAATATTACTACTCACATACTAAGACAAGGGGGTACATTTGTAGCAAAAATATTTAGAGCTAAAGATGTTACATTACTATATGCACAACTAAAGATATTTTTCCCCTATGTCTATTGCACAAAACCTAGCAGTTCTCGCAATTCCAGCATTGAAGCATTTGTAGTCTGTAAAGATTATTCACCTCCTGAAGGTTACAAACCTCATATGCTAAATCCTCTTTTAACTCATAAACCATGTGACTTTGATGAGCTTACTGGAATTAACAGAGTCATTGTTCCATTTGTTGTTTGTGGCGATCTTAGTCAGCCTGACTCTGATACTTGTTATCCACTGAATGTAAGCTATTTATATTTATCATTTTCGCATTGAATTACATGTATTCTATATTATCTGTGTCTTTTTCTGATTCAGTTCGAAGGAAAAGAATACACATATCACGAACCAGTACAAACACCGATTGCACCACCATACCAAGAAGCATTGACTCTGTTGGAGAGTAGAGATACCGATTTTAGAAGGTCTGATGTTAACGTAGTAGTAGATAATCTAAGTTCCATGACCATTACGGACTTTAAAAAACAAGCGAAGCAGAAACATAAGGAGATAACTAAAAGTGAAATAAGCAAATTGCAAGATAGCAAAAAAGATGATGACAGCGAAGATGTATTGGGACTTGACCAACTAATATTTACCGAATTGTTTGATGAATCTGATAATAAAGATAATACGACGTAAAATTTTGCGTATTATTTTACAATTATAATTGTTGTGATAAATATTTTTAACATATAGCAGTTTGTAAATGATTTAAATTTTACAAATTGTTCTTATTCTACGATCTTAATCCGTAAAACATTTAAAATCGATATTTCATTTATTAAATTTTAATTTAGTGTGCGTAATTACCGGCAAAATTTAGGCAAATATCAAGTGCCAAAAACAATTTTTTTTTTATACACCTATAATTGGCATCGTATCGGCTATGATAGAATAGTAAACATTACATCGTCTTACAATTAGTTGCTTTGACCTAGTTCAATCATGATTCCAGTCGAGGTATTTATCCAAATATTTTTCTATCTATACTTCTTAGCACTTTCGGCAAGAATCACATTAACAAGATACGTATTCGCTGTAAAATTTTTATGTTGGGTAGACAAGCCGAACTTGTTATGTCTGCAAGAAATTGTTCTGCTGTGCGAAGTGCCGTGAACGACATGAAGAAAACAAACACACAAAACGCTATCCGAACTGTCCGTTCTGCATGAATCAGAAATTTCCGTTGAAATCCTTCGAAGATAAGGCATTAGTTTCTCACATAGTAACTAGGCATCTACCTCTCTACTGTTACTTATGCGGTGAAATTTTCAAACAGAGCAAAGATTTGGAATCATTGGGTAATTATCCTTATACTTTACTTTATTTTTCATTAGAAATATTCACGATGAATGTGATTACGATTCACTTAATTTTATTCATAATTAAAAGTTTATATTGCATTATTTTCTACAAAACAAAGGCATTTGCAAATGGTGGAAATCAAAGCAACGTCATTCACTGGTGTCTGCACAAAAGTCCATACTGGGTACACCACCTCTGGTTTCAGACGAAAAGGAATCGTCCCAATTCGGCCAACTGACCTCACCGCCGGAACTTTATCGAAATACAAGCACGCCTATGGTTGTCGACCAAAAGACAGGTTTCAACTTCAAAACGCCGAACGTTCCGAATTTCTCCTTGAAAACGCCAAAAACTGATTCCGCGTCTTTGAACAATTATGAAGATCATGGCTGTTCGCAAAGAAGCAGCTTGAAATCCGATAATTCGAGCACTTACGTGACCTGCCCGTCTGTGAATATTCACGAAGAAACCCCATTCCGCACGTGGCCACCGGGCCATGGAAGTAAAGAACTTCCCAGAAGTCTGGAAATCATGAAAGACAAAAGTAACAACGACTCGAACGAACATTATGCAGACAATAATTGCGTGGAATTGACAGACGTCGAGGACGAAATGTCTAATTCTCAGAGCTTGGGAACATGCCAAACAGAGAAACGACCAGACTCTTTAAAGAAAGTCCGATTTTCTGACCAATATGGAACTCCACCGGAACGTAACTCGATGGCTGCTACTATCAATATGACGGAGAACGAAGAATACTTCGATACATCCGAGATGAAAGAGTTTTTGGAGAAATCACAGATCAAAATTTATGAGGATAATGCGAAGAACATAGAGAAAGAAAATTATAAGCCGAACAGCGGCAGTCTGAACGACAACGAACAACAATCGGATGATTCTTCGCGAGTAGTGTTGATGGTAGTCGTGGAGAATAATCCTAAGAAGACAACATCCGATCTAATAAATTCTGGTTTAAAGAAACTAGAAGGTATTGTTACAAATAGAAATCTTTTGGTCAAGAATAACAGTTTTCCTGGTAGTAGTAACTCGTTAACGTCCATTGGTAGTTACTACAGCATTTCTAGTCAAAATTATTACTCATCGCCACATGAATTGAACAGGTCTGTTAATAGAGATTCAAATACTTCAAGTAACAGTACCGATAATAATAGCTCCGGTGGAATTTTCTCCATGATGGCTAACGCAATGAAAAGTGTCATGAGAAGTTTCTCGGGTATGTGTACTTTTTTGTTTTGAAAGTATACTTTTAAAGAAAATAAATAGAACTCATGTTTAACTCTATTTCCATCACCACAGCAATCGGTACCACTAAGAATATTGAAAAGCAACAGATTTTTTCAAAAGAAGGTAACGCATTAATACCGTCTACTTCGGGGTTCAACTCTCTATCAAATTTGGAGTCTTTCTCTTCACAAAGAGCGGAAAAACGACCGCGAGATGATATCGAAAATGTGTCATTATCGCAAAGATCAACGGAACAGGTTGAATTGTTGAGTCCCGTCGCGAAACGACACCGTGGATGGTACAAAATTAAGGCGCGAGAACCGATCGCGAGGATGCGAAATAATCGACAATTTTCATCTCACAATCAGCGAGGAGTATCATCCGAAACTCAAGTGTTTCATCAGGGATCGTTGTTGGTTGGCAATACAGTTTTACCCCTACCTGATAGAGCACACCAATCTACGCAAACCGAATAATATTGAATAATAATTGAAATTCAAGTAATTAATTTTATGATACTATGTTTTATCCGGAAAATATTTTATTTAAATTTATTTATTATAAATGGACATGTTTGATATATCATTTGAAACAATTGTAATACTTTATTTCGTGATTGTATCATTTAATTAATTTCGTGGATTACTCTCCAATTCTGAAGTACAAAAATTATAAAGTTTATTTTAATAAATCAAATATTATAGATATTTAAATTTTCGATTGTTGTGGCGCTGCTGTAGTTATCGCACCGATCGAGAATATTATATTGATGTTTAAGGTTATGTTCCTCAGCGTTATGGCGTTTACTTTACAATAACAGTGTTATAAGCTCTTCTCAGAAAACATAATATTCTTTTTAATTGAATCGTGCATTAAGCATAAGTATGTACTTTATCGTTTAAAATTATATGTATCTACTAATAAGGAAGCATTTTAATTTATTCAAAATATCCTTCTTAATTCTTTCAGCTTGTCACAATGTCCTCGTGGAAAAAAGCAGCAAAATCTACGCAAAAAACTCATCATGAAAGGCATCAACCAGAGAGCCGCAAACATCTGGGTCTTTTGGAGAAAAAGAAAGATTATATTGCTAGAGCTAGAGATTACCAAGAAAAACAACAAACCTTGAAACTTTTGCGCAAACGTACCCTGAATAAAAATCCAGATGAATTTTATTATCACATGATCAATTCTAAAATTAGTGGAGGTGTACATAGAGAAAAAAGGAAACAAAAGAATCATACACCGGAACAGATACACCTTATGGAAACACAGGATATTAAATATATTGCTTACAAGAGAAGTATTGAAGCAAAGAAAATAGATAGGCTCCAAAGTCAACTGCACATGATAGATGTTGCAAATGAAACCAAGAACAAACATATCTTTTTTGTAGACGATCCAACAGAAATGAAAAACTTTGATCTTGCTAAGAGACTTGATACCCATCCAGCATTGATATCCAGACGTGTAAACAGACCAAAATTAGATAAATTAAAAGATATGAAATTACCAAATATAGATGAGAGTAGTTTACAAAAACTTGAACAGGATAAATACAAAACTTACGATGAATTACAGAAGAGAATTGATAGAGAAAAGCAACTAAGCGTTATACAACGAAAATTAGAAATAGAAAGAACACTGAAGGATAAAACAATTACCAAACCAAAACTAGTAAAGAAAGGAACAAAGAATGCTGCTCCTATCTACAAATGGAAATTTGAAAGAAAACGATGATTATTATTATCTGTATTTAAAGTATACTTTTAATAAAATTTTAGTAAATTTTAATAAAGAAAAAACTTCATTTAAATAATTCTTCAATTAATCTAGTTTAACACTATAAATATAACACCTAATTAATTAATTAAGTTCTGTTTAAAGTGTCCTAATACTGTAATAATACTGAATAATATTGTATTTCTTACATCAGTTATTACTTAATCGATATCCACCACTGTTGTTGGTTGACTTCCTGTTATCACTTCTACATCTGTCGATGTAGTCTCTTCAGTTTCCACCGCAGTTGTCATCACTGTAGTCATCGTCATTTGAACGGTCATAGCTGATGTCATTCCCATTTCTTTAGTTCCATTCATTGTTGACATTGTTCCGTTACTTGGTATTGTAGGTAACTCCGTTGATATGCTGACACAGTCGTAATTCAATTGCCACAGTCTTTTTTTAGAGAAGATATCCAACCGAAGACAAGCAGTGATCGATCTTCCAATCATATGTAAAGTTTTCATTTAATGAAAATTGCATGGCATCTTTAAGAATTACATTAACAACTTGTGTCATACCTGGAAAATTTATTGAGTTCCAGTAGATTTACGCATGCAGTTGAAAAATAACATCTTGGTATATTACTGCAAAACTTGAATGGCTTGTAGTCTGTGATTGTACGTGCTCTTAATATATCGGAGTTCAACGTCATATCGATGTTTAATCCATTTCTTTGATAAGTAAAATTAGTGCAGACTGCACAATATAACATAAGGAGTCACGAAGATAATTAATAAATAGTTATATCATAGACTTACGATTTTTTTCTGCTTTGGTGTATAAAATGATGACACTTTGACAGCAGGAGCAAGAATAAGACGTGTTACAGGTGCAATATCTTTGAAACGTCTGAATTGTCCTATGAGCCAGGAATCCTTTAGATGCAAAGAATCCTAAACATTTCGTATTTGTAAACAAAGTGGAATTTTACTTCTATAATTACGTGGGAAACAGAAAATAAATAAAGAACTGACTTTCTTCTGTAGCACCACCTGTCCAATGAAAGAGTAAACGTAACCAGAATGAAATCAGGACACTGTATATTCTGGAATTCATGTTTAGAATGTTTCAATGGACTTTTTCACCACGGTACATCCACAGTTCTACTACATGGATACATTACGTCTCCCATAGTTATACTAGCATCGACGTTTGATATTCAACGAAACAATATTGCCTCGACTCGGTGGTTGCTCCACAGGATGTAATTATCGAGGTATTGTAATAATAATAATAAAAAAAAAATAGCTTTTGAATACATCTATTTATTCTCTTTCAGATAATATGAGTACATTACGATTTTCAACGATTGGTAGAATGTTTCGAACGACGCAGAGTTACTTTAAAAAAAAACGTAACTGAACTCTAATAAAAATCTCCGGACGATTAGTTTGCAATCAGATCGTCGCATTACGTTCTCGAGAAGAAAATACAATAAATAGCAATTGGTGGCACGCAACTACAGTAGGAATGCGTAATTGTACTATTAAGTCCTTCGCGCTTGTCACGAACAGAATCTTAGGTTTCCTCAGAAATCAAGTAAATCATCGTCATCGTTGTCGTCGTCGTCGTCGTCGTTGTCGTCGTAATCATAATCGCCCTCATCCTCATCATCGTCGTCACCTGGCAAGAATTCTAGTTGACCTAGTCCACCTCCGTCTTCTGGCTTTACCAGAGCCAAGCCGTTTGCACCGAATCTAATGCAATCTAATCCGACCTGGAAACATATTCATAAAAGCTCATGTGAGAGCTTTCGTCTTTGGCCGTTAAATCCACACTTACCTTAAATACTGTAGTATCGCTGAACTTCCCTTCCATATTTATACACACGTGAATGTTCCTACCCTGAAAATAAATGTTATAGAAGCGAACGCACGCTTTAACAAATGGAATCCGTGGCACTGGTACGCATATCGGCCGAGGATTTTTCCCTGAAACGTGAAACACTCGTCAAAAATCTGCAATACCTGTTGTATTTAAATATTTCATACATAATGAATATACCAGACACGGTTCTCGTGTACAAAACTCTGTCGTTCATTGAAATTTTCGCTGTGAAGCTGAACTCATCCGGATCGTACGTGACGTTCACGCACGCCTTTTGCTTCCAAGTGTCGTATAAAATTCTAGAACAACAACCGCAGACACCTCCACCACATTGACAGGGACCTTGTTTGTCAACAGTTAGATTAGTGGTATTCGAGGTAGAATTTGTCACTTGTTTCAGCAATTGCTGCAATCTTTTCATGTCCCAGTTTTTCTCGTTTTTCGTGAGATCCGGTACGTCATTGTTCACGGATAACATTCTCTGCGAGTCAATAGTTCTTTCGCCAACCTGTTGCAAAGAGCTTCGAGCGCAAAGAACAGCAAAGAGGACTAGCAAACAGGCAGCTCTCATTTCTCGTCTTTGACGACACGGGATTCAATCACTACGAGAGAACATCTCTTCGCCAGTTAGAGAATACTCTTTGTTGAGCGTTCGACACTCGACTGGTCAGTTAACGGATATCTTACTCTGACCTCGTTCTACGGAGAAATTTAGGTTCGCTTCGTATATTTATTGGTGTTTCATCTTCTTGTGGAACGTTGATAATCCGATTAAGGAAAAGGAGCGACGAACCATCGGTAAAAGATTGAGACTGGACGTGGTACTATTTTTTATAAAATATCGCTTGTTTGTCGTGTTGCTTTGCTCGATATACCTTTCGTATACTCGAAAATAAATAGTAAGAAACGAAAATCGAAATAACTTTAACAAATTTCACTGAAATTTATTGTACACCATTATATATCTTAAATTTACTAATTATATATCTTAAATTTTATAGTTAGTAACAACTATACAAGTAATATATATTACTTTAATTATATTTAACTAACTTAATTCGTTTCTCAATAATCACAATTTCAATTGTCCAATTAGTGCCTCTTCAGCAGGACTCAATGGCATATCATGAACGTCCAAATCCTGCTGTTCGAAATTCACTTCGTCATATATTTCTGGTTCGGCTATTTGCTGTTCCGATTGCGAGGTGATCTGATGCTGTGCCTGTTCTATATCAGAATTCCCCAAATGGACTCCGTCATCGTCGAATTGAATGCATGGGAAATGGAATGACGTAGATTTTCTTGTTTCGAAGGAGAAAAGTCTAAATGTAAACTCGATGCTGCCGCAAACCTTTACATGATAGTCCTGATACTCGAGGTCGATCTGATCGCAAACACGTAGATGGGAGAAATGTGGTAATGGAACACATTGCTGTTTTGAGGCCGCTGCAACAATTATAAATACAATATCACAGTTCGATGAATGTAAAGAAAGAAATGGATTAGGAAAAATGCTTACAGATAAGATGCGAGAAGAGACTCCGTTGGTTTGCGGTTAATTCAATTCTGATCTCATTGAGGCCACTGTCATTAAAGACAGTATTTAAACATACTGAACCTTTAAAACCAAAGAAATGAACACCGACGCAACAGCTGACACTGTCCGTTTTAAAGTCGCATAGCGAACGTCGATAGATCATTGCAGCTATCGAATCATTTTTTCCTCCTTCCAGTACCACTCCAGTACTCGGATCATAGTACGTAATTAACGGGTCACTTGAACTGACTGAACACAACACACATGTTAAATACGCTCCTTGTAAAAAGTTCCCGTTCGAACGCAAATATTTGAATGTATATTATACAAACTATAATCTTTGATTCAAGGATTGGTGTATGTATTTATTTGAAGTACGTGGAAAAATAAAATCAGCGACTTCAACTCATTTCGTGAATAGAAGAACTTTTTACCAAGGATAGTAGTCTGACGAAACAAACGAAATATTTATATCTGCGTTCGGACTAAGTTTTTTCTAATTCCATGATCGTCATAGAAATTATTCGATACCTTTATTAGGATTTCCGTGATGAGACAAAGTACCGCAGACAATTTGTATCGCGATAGATATCACAAGAACTTTAAACAATTTCGGCAGCATTTTGGCGAGGACAGAAGTGAAAGGTGCCTTCTCGACTAAACGCATGGACTGATTGAGATGGGGCCACAACGTGATTATATACAGTTTCGTGCCTATCGATCACATACACGAAAACTTTTCCAATACTTGAGCAACTCAAGGATAATTGAAATTCTTTAGGTACGTGTAAACTATTAATCTATTAATTAGTAGTCACAAGTCACTCGTTCAATTGTTTAGTTAATCCGCTGAACTGATAGCTTTCCGATATAAATATATAGCTTCATAATAAAAAAAAAAAAAAATAAGCCATGCCGATTAATTATAAGCTATATTTAAGCTATGTAATTCTATGAACAAAGAACGTACGCGTCTTTCGTATGTTTTTTATTTAAAAAAGATTAAGAAGTTTCAGATTTTTCGAATCTGTTTCATTTAATCTTTTTCTTTAATTCAATTATATTTCGATTTAACAATCTAATCTAATCTGTCAGTGATTAGCAATTAAAATTGGACGCGCTGCATGAGAGGATACATATGTTTATTTAATAAACGTGTAATTACAGATTCAATAAATTAATTAAATAAGCATATATAAATAGATTGTCGTCTTAAATGGTATTAAATTATTTGCACAAATTCATATGGCGATTTTATATAAAAATTACATTGTAACGTAATGTAACTCTTATCTTATCTATCATAACAACGTTCCAATAGCTAAGTTTTATGTATTTTTCTACGGTAAATTTTAATTAAAAGATCTTACATGATAATAAAATTTATTTCGTCGTTTGTTATCTATAATACAGAAGTTATCAGTCTCTCTATAGTTCGTAACATAGCCAACAGCAATTTGTTAATTTTACAGACGTGTCCATCAATTATGAACATTAAACTTAGCTTAAGAATCGATTGCACGATGTAATATCGTTTCACGGCTTGTTTTTGATTATTCCATGTACTTAATATGCGATTCTGAACTTGAATTCTAGTCTCAGAATTTCGTTTGTTCACTGTTTCTCGAATGCCTGTTTCTTGCTAAAAGTCCGGTCAAGCCTAATTCGTAGTCTGAATCATCGTCGTAAACTTCGGACGACTGATGGTGCTTCTTCACCTTACCTTTCTTCTTTTCATTCTCTTTTTCATCGTAAACCAACGCGCTGATCACCGCGTCTTCTTCTTCGTCGTCGTCGTCGTCGTCCAAATCTTCAACCTCAGCCTTCTCGTCTTCGTGCTCGTGATTCTCGTGTTCATGTCCGTCAATGTTCTCATCGTCGTCCTCTTCTTCCTCGTTGTCCTTCTCGTCGTCTTCGTTCAAAATCTCCTCGTCTTCGTCGTCGTCGTCGTCATCGTCTAGACTATCCTCCAAAATATCGTCGTCGTTGTCTTCTTCTTCACCTTTGACCGGTTTCTTCGCGTGTTTCTTCTTCTTATTCGTCTCGTTCTCGATCGCGTTGGCGCTGGAACTCGCAATGCTAGGCTTCTTCCTATTTGCATCCGACGCCGTGAATTTCTTGGTCGGTGTTTTATCCGGCTTCGCGAAGGAAGCTATCTTGTTGGAGACGTCCGTGACGACTGCTTCGGCCTCGTTAGCCGCTGTGTCGGCGACTGCAGACTCTTCACTCGCCTCGGCACTACCTTCTTCATCCACGTTCAAGGATTCTTGACTGTCCTCGTTCTGTTGTTCCGAGTCGTTCGTGGCAACGTTGTCTCCGACGTTCGAATTCACTATCGGCGGCGTCGGTCTATTTAGAATTGGAATCGTGAACTGCAGAAGAGGCGCAGGTGTGGTCACTTTGGGTTTCTTCGTTGCGGTCTCGTCGTCGCCGGTTATGATGTCCAAAAGAGCCCCGAACCCGAGCACATCCTCGTCGTCGTCTTCTTCCTCGTCCTCTTCTGTGGAAGAGGTTGGCACAGAGTTGGTCAACGGTGCATTATCCTCGGCATCGTCCTCATCCTCGTCGTCATCGTCCGAATCCAAGCCAAAGAAATCGTCGTCCTCTTCTTGCGAGACCTCAGCTTCGACTACCGGAAGTGGTTCCGCTGGACGTAACTTTAGACCGTCGGGGCCAAATCTGCGATATTACGATTGCATGAATCTTTCGTTCTTTCTGATTGCGGAATTATTGTTACAAATAGACTGTGGAAGTAAAATAATTTTCCACCAAGGTTGTTCGTAAAAATGAGAAATTCCATGAATGTTCGCAGTGTAAATATAGTGTAAATATACAAAAATATTATCGTTACCTAAAGCAGCTAACGCGTAAGCTAGCTTCGAGTTCCGTTGCTGACTGCAACTCCAGTCCAAGGCAGGCCTTGAAGTGATTTTTCGCGTCCCGTTTAATGGAATAAATTCGACCGCAGAATTTCGTGAACCCTCCGGGTAACGGTACGCACACGGGCTTGGGATTCTTTCCTGAAAACCCATCGCGTCGTGAAACGCGTCGTCAGTCATCCACGATTAAACCATAGTAGATCGAATCACTCGGAGAATGTGTTTCTTTATTTGTTTAATATATGCGGGACTTTCACCTCGAACGATCACGGCGAAAATCGATCGAACGATGCGTTCATGCGTTAGGAATATTCGATTTTCAACATGGGATTTGGTTCGTGACAAACGAACATCGATTTTTTGATACTTGTCGATACTGTTAAATAACGTTCGTCTTCTAAAATTGCATCGTGTGGACATTCGGTGAAAGTCAGCACGCGCTGCCTGAATTCCAGCAGATTTTTAGGATCGAGCTGTTAAACGATTAACATACTTTTCACACTGCGTGACTTTTCTGCCCGTGTCATAAACTTTCAAATAGATAAATCTAGAATGTCGTACATCGTGACACTCGTGACGTTATTCTCAGAGTCTGAAAACCATGAACAACGCAAGTACTTGCCATTTACGATAGTGCTGGTAAGAATATTGTCTCCGAAGCTAAGCTGAACCGCCAAATTGTCTCCTTGTAAGTATTGCAAGGATGCACATCCTGGAATGAATAAATTATTGAAGAATATATAGATGAACACGTTTCATTATAATTGTTTTTATGAATATCTCTAATTTTCTGGGGCATTCTATATAAATCATTTACATTGGATCACACAAATAGTCTTTAGACAGACCACGTATAAAAAACCAACTTTTGATATCTATTCAACATCTCGTTTCCTTGATTGCTATGCTTTCTAACAGTTGCGTTCTACTACGTTCAGCTAAATTACACAATGCTCACCTGGTCCTTGTAATTGCACCAGCGGTATGTGGAAGTCTCTGCAACAATTGCATATGTTCTCGTTGCAGGTGCAGTATCTGTTCACGTTGTCGGTTGCCTGTTTCAACGATAACGTCGATATCCCGATGTTACTCTGTTTCACGTCCTTAATTGCTCTTTCTTCTGCTTTCTCGCCGCGTTCTATGGAATTAATAATTTTTCGTTGTGTATTCATACACGTACTTTCTCCCTTATTTACGAAGAGGAAGCGGAAGAAGATAAAACCAAGTATATTTTATAATTCTGTCTTCTACATTAAGCTAATCATACGTTTCAGATTATACGAACACGCGCAATGACATTCATTTAATATTTTCAAATGTAAATTTTTCAGTTACGTTCGGATGAGTGACTTCATCCTTCAGCATTATATCTCTTATTAACTTTAATCCTTGCAATAAACGTTTCCTTTCGGCAAAGTGAAGCCAACCATTCACGTGAAATTGCCAGGCCGTTAGAAGAATTGACGTTAACAATGTGGAAACTCTTGAAAATCATTACCGATCACTCGGCCGTAAGCGGCGAACGCGATCAGAAGGAGGATCAGCAACAGTTCGACAACCATCGACAGCCGCATCTTCGCCCCTGGTTCTGCAAGGCAAGGCACGACGAGTATGTAAAACGAGCGTAGTTGATATTCTACGAAGTTTACTCTCTAAATATGCACGGACACGCGCGCCTGTTCGTCATTCGCATCGCGAAAGTCGACCGTGCACTTGGCATTCGCCAAGTATTTCCCCTGCTGCTTAACTCAAACGAAAGATCTCGCGTCGATGTATGTTAATATTATTTCGACGCGTTTCGAACGCGATATCCATCGTTTGCTCAGCGATAAAATTTCGATGAAATTTCAACGAGGACCACCGTCCCCTGTCCGCGATTTGCCAAGCCTTTGTTTCTTTGTCTCGTTCGTTTCTCGACTGGAACAACTGCCAATTATTAAACGTATGTATCGAGGTTTATCCGCGGAGCTCGGATAAAGGAGGAAAGCTAACGGAACGCCGGTGGTCACGCAGAGCTGCCGGATGCCAGAACAATGCGCGGCCACGTGTTCACGCTCGTTAACGATAACTAGAGGCGAAACAGAGGGTGAAACGCGCGGCTGGTCCTCGGCCATGGGATCAATCATTTCGAGCAGCGAACTCGTCAAGAGAAACGACGTTTACCTCTTGTTTCAGCAGACGTGCTCGTCGCGACGCGCGCTAACCTCTTGTCTGCGACCGGTTGACCTAAATCACGGTCATGGCCGGAGATGTCTCTCTCTTTCTCGAGAAGTTTACCGCTCGAATGGTACCTGAAACAACCGCGCTTCAGGAAGCACGCACGTGCGTGAATCGACTTTATCGCGGAACATTATGTAGCGAGGAACGGTGATACACGTAGGTATACGCTTCCGATCGATTTATCCTTCCGGATTCGGTGCGCTACCTGATATTTTATTTGATAAACCTGGTGGAAAATTGAACTCTGTCGGACGAATTCAGCTCGTAGGGCGTCGAATATAATTAAAAACGAGGAAAAACTAGCATCAAAGCCGGGGAATTAATTAATTAAGGATTTCTGTCTTAATTAAGAATCTGACGAGAAGGTACGTTCGCGAGCACGATTGCATTAACGAGGAAACTGCAAGCGTCTCTCGCAGAGAGACAAGAGAAGAAATTAACGAAACTAGAGAGTTCTTTCATTTTGAAGTTTTCACTGACCTGTGTTGCCTGTTTTCACTGACGATAGATACAGCAGACGAAAAATTTCGTGCAGGAGGCAAGAGGATCGTTCGTGAAGGACCGTCTCTCTTCGTCGCACCCTTCAGCTCTTTTTTCCGACTCTTCGTCTTACGGAGGCCAATGTCTAACTGAAGATGCCGCCCAACTCCCCCCAAGGTCTCTTTAAAAGTCGGTCAAGCCACCACCACCTGCCTCGACCGTGGCTACGATTATTAAGCATTCTAATATGCTCTAGGTAAATAAGAGAACGATCCCCTACCAGTCAGGGGATAGCGTGTCGATCGTCCAAGCTACCACAAACCGGATCATCCTGGTTCCGCCGTTGGAAATCAAGGCGGAAGTTGCTTGTCCCCTCGCCTTGGACCGATACCAGGGTCAAGTACGCTCGGACCGAATGTTACCGACCTTCCATTAAAGATTTACTCTCTCGAGCGTGGTATCGCGATGAATCATCTCGCAACGAGGCGAGATCGCGAGATCAGGAAGGGGAAGTTGTTGTTTCTCGTTCCTGACTGGATTCCAATTTGCAACGATGGAGAGATCGATGCGAAAAGATCGGCGTGTGACGTAACGTTTGTTAACCTGCCCGTCACGAAAGTGTTTGTGAAATTTTTTGATTAAATTCCCAGGTGATTTTCTATTAAATTTACGTCAACGAAGATCGTCGAAAGCGTTGATGAGATTTTCTATGAAATTTACGTCAAGGGAGACTGACGCGATTTAAAGCTCATTAACCTACTTGTCGAAAGTATTCGTGAAATTTTCTATTAAATAGGAGCGTTCGATTTGTTCGAGTTATATTCTTTCCTTTCTTGCCTAGGAGATTTTCTATTAAATTTACTTCGATGCGATATGGATTCAGTTTGTTCGAAAATCGTCCTTCCTTTTGTGCCTGCTTTATCTTAAATTAATATAGATTTCAACAAGGTTTCGACGCATAATACAAACCCCGATCACGACCGATCTCTAATGGCCAGGCCCCACCTGGCGAAAATTTCTATCGCCATAATGTTACGCCTCGGTACGCGAGGTTGTCGCATGCCCGGTGCATCCGCAATGAGCATGCCGGAAATTCTTTATTCGTCGGACGTGCAACTCGCTTTTACCACGTCACAATTAACTCGCACCTTTTCACCGACCTTCAAACTGGTCGTTGCTCTCGTGTCCAATTGAATAGCCGCTACGATAGCCCCGCGTCGTTTGTTCTTTATTTATAGATTTTACCTTTGCACGCAAGATTCACCGCGCGACAACCGCCATCGTGATATTTTATACGATGACAAACGCTGGCCGGATCGGATAAAATCAGCCCTCGGAGTGGGGCCAGAAACGTGTTTCGGTGGTCGAGATGGAGCCTTTCTCCGGTTAGTGGGTCGAAGAAAGTAGTGGTCAGAAGTGGTTTACCTTGGTTAATACTTGTCCGTTGGCACGGAGGCACCACAATGGAATCCATTGCTGTCGAATGTTGCGGAAGGCCTGATAATTGTTGTCGATGATGCACGACGACCATCCACGCATGACTCTCGGTGTTTTGAGATAACGCGGCTCCCCGGGCTTCTAAACGATTCCACGGGGTAAATCCACGCTGGCGATGTGGGTCATCGTCGAGAGAAACGAGTTTTTACGTAACGTCACGAGATAATCTGCTCGGGTGCTGGGGCTCCATTTCGAAACCATAATCCAATCGGGAGCAGCTTGGCCTGCCTTGTAAACAGGAGAGGAAATGAAGTATCGATCGGCCGTTTAATAAATCATAGCAGACCGATCATTTCGCTGCCGTTCGTCCTCTTGCATCTTCCGACCCGTGGAAATAACGATAGCCCAGAGATAAATTATATAATATTTCAAGACGTCCTTGGAAGACCGGCAGGTGTGATAATTGTTGCAAAGTAGCGCGTTTCGCGGAGTGTCCGAATGGAACGACGATTCAGCCGGCTCGAGGCCAGCCATGCGTACGCTTTTCCTTCTCCTTTCGTTACAAATCCTTTTTTTTTTTGTTTGTTTGTTTGTTTGTTTTTCATCCGCATGCTCGCGTGATCGATCAGAGAAAGCCAGGAGAATATTACGAGCCAAAGAGGCACGGCCGATGAAAATATAATTGCCGGGGAAAAAGAGGGGAAGATTCATCTTTGCAAGAGCATGGTCATCATCACGGTCTCGTTAACTGTCCCGTATTACTGTCATTACGCTCGTTACGATCCAGGTTACAGGAGTAAGGAGAGAAAAAAACAGGCGTTATTACCAGACTACGTACGTAAACGAGAGATATCTGTGACAAAACAAAATTAAGATATCTACAAAATTTTTAATGTGGTAAATCTGAATTTACACAAGTACCTAAAGTCTAGTTGTCGGTTCTGCGACTCTCGCCGTTGCCCGTTGGGAATTTTCACTTTTGTTCGTTAGCAGATGCGAAGAAATCGAGGAAACATGTGAAAAGGAATCGTCGGATCGCCGAAGCGATGAAAATTCGGGAAGAGACGGAGACGGGAAAGGGAAGGGGAAAAGAAATTGCTTTTACTGACGTGCTCTAAACGGCATGGCGTCCGTTCGAAAAGAAGAGCACCGTCGTTTTTGTCGAGGGCCCCCTCCTAATGGCCAGACCGAGCATCGCTAGATAGGACAGCCGCTTAAGTTCTCCTGGTACCAGGTTGTCGAAGGAGGTCACCCGGTCACCCAGATGAGGTTCTTTGCCCGTTGTTACCTCCGCACCTCGGCCAATGGCGTGGCACTTCATCGTTGCCGTGGCGAATCCTGTCGCCAGTTTTCGTGCCGACCGCCAGCCGATCGCCGATCCGAGACCCGCGCCCGGCTTTGTGTGCCCAGATTTAAGCTGCTTCCTTCCTGGGCAGGATCTCCAGGCCTCCTCGACGTGTGAATCTTCTCTCGCTAGTTTCTCTCGTCTGGTGCCGCGAGTTTTCCACCGATCGTTCGTCGTGAGAGTCGTCGTCCCCTAGCCACGAGGGAATCTTCGGAAACAAAAATCTTCGTCGTCGGTGATGGCCGTCAAGTTCACGATCCTGGTGCTGTTGACCATCGCGGTCGTCGTGGTGTCTTCCGCTGGACTGCTCGGTGAGCAACACGGATCAGTTACGCTTCTCGCAAAAACGTTTCTCGCGGTTTTCCGCGGACGAACACGCAGCGAACGAGCCAACGACTCGTGGGAAGTTTGACGTTCGTGGCTGGAAAATTCGTAGCGGCCGGGTTCGGCTGATTAAACGTGACGCTCGTGTAAACAAAGGTTCGACCCTTCCGCATACCAATCGCGACCCTCTTCTCGGGGATAACTCGATTTTCGACGCGACGGCGCGTCCGTGTTTCGTTCGCGTGCTTTCTCTCGGACCTGTCTACGTTTCGTTGTTTTAATTAACTTGATTAAAATTTTTTTCTTTTTTTGTTCTTTTCGATTGACGAATTCTTTTTCCCTTGCTCGTTGCTCGAACCTGCTCGGTCGCGAATCTGTAGAACGTTGGCCAGCAACTTGTCCCAGTAACGCGAGAAAGTTTGCGAATAGACATCTTTCCGACTCATCGACGCGGCACACTTTGCGATACGCGAGTATTCACTTGCTTATTTACTTTGTTTGCCGTTTCGAGAGAGGAATGACAAGCTTTTTCGGCGAAACGATATCGAAACCGTGTCACGCCCGTTGGAGAAACGACTCGCGAACAACGAGCAACGTATGGTAATCGCGGACGATATTTTTCGTTTCGATCGACGACTTTCGTTTCGATCCAGTTTCTCTCGCCGAGTTTCACTGACGCCCGCTCCTTTGCATTTTCTCTCGGCGACAGAGACGCTGCTCTCCTGGGACCTTCCGGATGCTGTGGGCAGATCGACCACGCCGCAGTCCCAGTGCCTCTGTCAAACCTCCAACTGCCTATGCTGCATCGATCTGAATCTGACAGCGACCATCGATTTGGGTGGGCCGGCGTGCATCAACGTCAAGCAAAAGGAGCAGAACGTCTCGTTGAACCTCAGTTACGGCGACAATCCCGTGCACAATGCCACCATTAAGATCGGTGAGGAATCGTCGAGATTTCTTTCTCATTATCTCGAATTACCTTCCACGATATTTATAATACAGAGCTATAAGATACACAACGGAGAGATTAGAAAAATTTCGTTGTCAGTTTCTCGAGAAAGATTAGTTTCGTTCTGGACGTTTTTCACAGTGGACGCATCGAACAGGCCGACCTGCATGAACCTTCTGTCAGACCTGGCGCAGATATGCGCGAAATTTACGTCGATGAGACAGTCGGAAGCCGGCTACGACGGTTGCCTGGTGATCGAGCCGGCTCTGTTGGGCACACCGCAAGCCACTTACCACATGGGGTGCTTCAATTTTAATCAGGTGGTGCGCCAGATCGAAGCCTCTGCGTGAGTACGATCCTAAAAAGCGTTACACGCTGCACCGATATCGAAGGTGTCGTCAAATTCGTATATTCGATTTCCATCGTCGTCTTATGATCGCGAGCGGTTTCATCGTTAATTCCCTTGCATCTCGAATTTTCTCGTAGCGCCATCGAGACAACAGAAGCCACCGAGACCACGGAGGACGAGGACGACTCGTTGAACACCGAGGAGTTCATAGCGGCGGTGTCGGCCAGCGCGGAACAGGGGATAGCTCTCTTCTCTCAATGGCTCGGTCTAAATCTGAATCCGAAACTAAACCTGACCAACAGCAGGAACAGTCAAGACGCGAGCGGGCAACGTTCCACTCCGTCCACCACGTCCAGATCAGCTCGAGCACACTGGGATCAAGAAGAGAAGAACGACGAACGGTTCAAGCAACTGCTTAGTGCTCAAGACAACGTGTTGAAGGGATCGGCGACGATCGGCCAGTCGAACGGAGCCGAAACGACGTTCGTTTATTCAAAACCCCCTGAATTGTTCTCGTCCGAGAAGACCTCGAACGAGAGACTGGCACAGGACCGGATGAAAATCGTACCGCAACACCTGGCGGTGGTGCCGAAGGAGTCGAGGAGAGGCGGAAGAGCGTACAATATTCATCAACACGTGAACGAGATCTGAAACGCGTTGCTCTCCCAATTCGACTCGATCGATTCAGGATGATAATTAAAACGTAGAGTTTAGGCTATCTCACACGTAGATCGTATTCCCGAGCTAGGGGCAGAATTTTCTTACCTTTTGCCTCCCTTTCCCTTCGTATCTCTTTATTCTTCTTGCTTGTTTCATTTTCCTTTAATTCTCGACGAATTCGACTAACCAACTACACTTCGTCATCGCATTAATCAACATTGGGCTATTGTTTGTTCATTTCGAGGAGACTCTTTCTCTCTCTCTCTGATCATCTCCGTCAGAATGATCTCATCGCCTTTTCTTCTCTCCCTCCGCGAAATTTCTTTTGCTCGAAGCATCGCTAACGCTCGCGATTCTTCGAGAATGTACGACGAGTTCGGATGAACGAAACGAACCGCCATCTGTAATCATAATTAACGGGGAAGACATGAAGTAAGATATATATAAATAAAATATATGTGGATTTTTATCACAGGAGAGTGTACAGTTACGATGGCTCGTTTCCATTATGCGAACTGTTTATTTATTTTTTCGATTTCGCATAGTAAGTAGAAAATACAATAATTATCCTGCAAGTAGTTCGTGTTCATGCAACAACATCGAGTTGTACTTACATATATTTATCGTCAAACT